ATTTGATCTACTTCTTACCTCGTGCCTTCCTTGATCATTTCTTAATCAACAGCTTACATTCTATCAATGATCAGTTTTTCCCTCCCATAACTCCCTAATTTTCTCTCACTTTTTCTCATATTGTTGGATTGATTTTCCATTAATGTACATTGTCAATCTATCCATTGGAGCTAAATCATTAAGCTTTTGGATCCATTCCTCCACGGTGGAAATAGTTCTCTCCTTCCAATATTTTGCGTAGATCATTCTCGCAGCTGTAGTCATATATAGAATTATACTTGTTTCATCTCGGTTCAGTTTATCTCTTATAATATCTGTAATATTCAGTAGGAAAAGTTCAGGTTTTAAAGGTAGATTTTTATGTAATACCCCTGTAATCTTTCTGTGGATGTTTTTCCAAAATCTTCTTGTTACACATGTGGTACATTGTCCCCAGTTTCTCTTTACATTTCCAACATATGTTGTTATTGTTCTTCTGTATCTTAGCTAATTTAGATGGTGACATGTACCATCTACCACATGAAGATGGTGACATGCACCTGTCAGAAAGTTCTTCCTAAAGTTGAGGTGGAATCTCTTTTCCTGTAGTTTGCATCCATTGCTCCATGTCCTAGGAGATTATCCCACACCCAAATAAAATGGCCTATCCACAATGGAGTAAGGCCATGTTGCGGGTTGCTATCGGATATTATTGCACTCCAAAATGTCGCCACTGCCACCGGCCAACTGCAACCCGCAGGCAGCCCGGTTCCCAGCCATGCTTAGCCCACCGATTTTCAAAAATGGGAGCATACCATTCTTGAAAATCAGCAGGCTAAGAAGCATGGCTGGGAGACGGGTTGCACTTGCCTGGCGGCAACAGCAACAACATTTTGAACTGCGATAATATCCGATAGCAACCCATAATGCGACCTTATCCCATTGGGAACATGTCGCTTTATTTGGGTGTGCGATAATCTCCATAGTCTCTAGAGCAGCAGAAAATCAAGCTTGTTCCCCCCTCAATATGACATCCCTACACATATTGAAACAGGGCTATCCTATCACCTCTTCACCGTCTCTTCTCCAGGCTAAACATACCCAGTTCCCTAAGTTGTTCCTCGTAGGGATTCATGGTTTCCAGACCTTTCAGCATTCACTCTCCTTTGGACATGCTCCAGTTTCTTAACATCCTTTTTGAGTTGTGGTGGCAAGAATTGGGGTATGATCTAGGTATGGCATGACCTTGGAGAAATCTATAAAAACACCTAAGATATTGGCACAAAGTTGGACCTTCAGGCCTGAGTGCCGTTCTGGATGGCTACAGAAAAGGTCCTCTCCGCTGCTATTTCGGGGCTCCCAGCAGCTGAATGGAGGTGTTTGCTTCATATG